AAGTATTTCTAGCACCAATGGACCTGAAGCTGTGTTCCATGAATTTGCACAAGCCCCTCAACTTCTGGCATGCAGGAGGTCCTAGACAGCACACACAGTAAAAAAATAAAATGATACTCAACATGTTAATCTTCCCTTGAATAAACATCAAAATGGGAACTTCAAAATACCTATCACTGAGGAACTCCTGGCAACTAAATTTCTGAAGCTGGCAAAAAGCCCAGGGCTCTAAATCTGAAATCTCCTTCCTTCTGGGACTCAATATCAGACCCAGACAGTTGCAGTGCTGGGAGGAAAAGAGGCCCCGAGGAACACCAAAGCAGATTCCATCTGTTAGTTCTGCTGTTCCTATTGTCAGGAAGGTGGAGTTGAGCACAAGGGAACAGGCTAACCCCCCAGGCACAAAGGTTCTTGTACCTTGTATAAGAATAATGCAACACTTTCAAAATCCTCAGTAGTTTCTTTACACTATTTCAATAGCAATTCACTTATGGCTGTCCAACGCACTAGCTGGGTCTAAAGATAACCTTACCTCCTTCCAGCAATAGCTCAAAATCATGGAATATTAGAGCTGGAAGGGCCTTAGGGCTTAGAATTCATCTGGCCCAACAGCTTCATTTCACACATGGAAAAAAAAAAAAAAAATCAGCAAAAAGATGAGGCTCTTTAGCTGGAGACTTTAGATCCAGAGAGGGAGAGCGACTGTGTGCTGAAGACCTGGGGGGTATGGGGAAGGACTGCATGGAGGGGATTGTAACCATGGCAATGAGATGATATATGATAGAATGAATGTAAAACTAATGTTCTCCCATGTAAACTATCACATAATTCACAATAAAACATTTAAGAAAAAAAAAATATATATGAGGCTCTTTAGTGATAGTGGCGTTGGAAATGCAATACTTTCTACTCTTGAAGTCGCTAACGCTCAGTTTATGGTCTGTTTAAGATATCACCTCTACCATGTCACAACTGTACTTGAGACTTTTCACAGGGTTGAATGTAAATTCCTAATATAAAGATGAGTGAGTTACATATATAATATGAAAGAACATCATTGCAAAATATAATTTCTCTATCCCTGGCTTCTTGTTGTTGTTGTTAGGTGCTGTTGAGTTAGATCCTCACTCAAAGTGACCCTATGCACAACAGAACGCACTGCCTGGTCCTTCCTGCGCCAACGTCACAACTGTTTAGGTCCGAGCCCATACCCCTGGCTTGGCTATCGGTTATTAATCATTTCTTCTCCTTTTAAGTTTATGTCCATAAGGCCAATTACAAATACAGCGCTTTTCTTTACTACTCATAACAATAAAGGTAACACAGTAATGCACAAAAAAGTAACTTTACATTTCACGTACATTTCACATCCAGCTGAACTGTGTTTGGCAAAGGATCATTTCCAAAGAACAGAAGTGATTAAACTTACAAAATAAATTCCCAGCCTGAGAAATACAAACCAGTCAAAATCAATTTCAAAAAGCATATATTAAATACTTTTTTTTATACATCAAGATTTTAGAAGGATGTGCTAACTGTAAATTTTTTCCTAAGGGAGAGGGGGTAGAATTGATTATCTAACAGAACTCCTGTTTTCCTACTGTGATCTAAATATACATTCTCTTTAAGCCAAAAGAATTAGGATAATAAGCTTTATGCTTCCTAGAAAAGTTGTTTGATCTGTGGATTTAATCCTATATGATAAAAATGTTCCAAGTATGAAATATAGAGTATAAATCCTTAGCTGTATTGAAAATGCTTTGGCATGCAGATGTTTTTTTTTCCATATTTTAATGAAAACCATATTGATTTGTAAGTTGCTTTAATTTCATTCTCGAATGGAATGGGACAAGAGTATCATATGTTTCGAATTAGGATCTTACTCACATCCCATATCAATTATGTAACTCAAATGCAAGACAACTTAATTGTGTCAATCATATTCCCCTGACAAGATCATTAAATGTTAACAGAGAGCTTCCAACTTTTAACAGCCATAGATTTTAAAGTGATTCTATGAAAACTATAGATGCAGCATAAAAACTGAGTGTATTAAATAGCCTCTGACTTCTAATACTAATTTTTGAGATTATGCTATGAACACAAAGTTTCTTCTTGATAACATGTTTATGAAAGTTCCTATTTCACAAAGTTACATCAAATGCCACAGATAACTAAGAAAACAAGCGCATCTAAAAGATCTTAACTGCAATTATATTGTAAATAAAACGCTAAAAGGGGAGTATATCAAAATCATTTTGACCTCATAGAAAAAAATATGGCTATATAATTCTACCTAGAAATAAACTATCACTGTTAGATAGCTGTTTCTTAATGATTTTACAGCACTAAATTTTAAAACCCGATACAGAGTCACTGTGAGTGGGAACTGGATGGACTGCACTTAACAAAAACAAACTTGAAAACTCGGTAATTTATCTGATCTGTCTTAACCAGCTGAACTCCTGGTGTGACACCAGCCTGGGAACCACAAGGTTGGTGATCCAAACCCCCTAGTTGCTCCTCAGAAATCCTGTATGGAGTTATGAGTCGGAATCACTAGAGGACACTTAACAACAACAAATCTTAACCACATAATCTAATTAATCACTTACTGTTTTTCAACTCTTTGAAATCCAAAATAAGGAAATAAACATTTAAAACAAGTTGAGGTTGTTAAAAAATATTTGCAATTTTACAACAACATAACAGATAATGCAACTGGCCATGGTATTCTGTAGTACATCGTTTTAAACATTCATTTTGGATATGGAAAAATAACCTTTTAGTCAAATTTGGTTGTTTTTTTTTAAGTTTCTGTTTGTTAAGTTTCATTGAGTTGGTTCTGACTCATAGCGTCCCCCTACAGCGCCACATCAGAACTCCAGGAACATGAGTTGTGTTACTGTTGTGAAGTGCTGTCGAGTTGATTCCGACCCATAGTGACCCTGTATAGGGTTTCCGAGGAGCAGGTGGTGAGCTTGAACTGCCAACCTTGCAGTTCAAACGGCTTTGCAGTCTGGCGCATTGACCCACAGCGCCACACAAGGACTCTATGAATATGAGTAGACAGGAGTTAATTTTTGTGCCTGTTTTTAAGATAAACCAGGAACAAAGCAAAACTCTCAATGATGTAAATGATGATTGATAGAAAATGAAGCTATGGTAAGTATCATTTTAAAGGCTAAGAACCGAAATTTAAAATCAGTTTTGTCAAATAATTACTACTTTAATTATTTCTAATGTTTCACATGTATTTATATCCTACTTCCTTCCACAAAGACATATTACAAAAAAACAAAACAAAACAAAAAAAAACATGTACATAGAAATCCCCAAATTCAAGACAAAGAAAAACACATGTGACAACTATTATGACGACAGAGTTTATGTGATACATTTAAGTTTGGCTTTAAGCTTCCTGGTAGTCAGAGAAAAAATAAGAAACACTGCTTTTAGTAGAATAGTTACTGGAAACTCTTAATTTTCTACATTTACATTGTGTCCCTCTAAGTAGGAACCGGCTTGACAGGACTTAACAACAATCAGTTGTTAAAATACCATGGCCAATTGCATTATCTGTTATGTTGTTGTAAAACTGCAAAGATTCTACTGGATCACACAGAATTTTTTAGGTTGTCCTCAAATGTTTCCTGAAAACACAAAAGTGATTTTCACATAGCTGTATCTAGTAGCAATCATTTATCAAGCTGAAAGCACAAGAGGAAAATGCAAGTGGACAAAGCTGTAGAAAAGACGAGGCAGCTGCTGTGAGAATCAAAAATGACAATGAACGTGCAACCCTATAGACTGGGAAGTACTCTACAAAGAGACAATGTCCTCTTCAGATGAAAATTATTGAGGACTCCGTCTATAGTCTTTCAACAAGAAATTTCTTGTTGGTATCTATTCATATCTTTCTGGATACAGAAAGATACCAGACTTTCTCTACAAATATGCATCTACAGTTTCCCAAACAAAATTCTTCAATGGAAGTCAAGTTGTAAAAGCTAAAAACAAAAACTTGAAAACTTGACCTACATTCCAGAACAAGTTCAATTATTGGGGCCAAGAAACTAAAAGTCTGCCCACTTTTCTGTTGTGATTTAAGAATTATGTGAAATGATAACCTTGATGACTATTAAAAGGATTAATCCTGTCTTCTTAAGTTCACTATTCACAAAACTTCTTGTTCTACAAAGTGAAAGACAGAGCCTAATTAATCTGTTTTGCTTTCCCCTATAAAGTGATGAATCAATAGTTTTGGGGACACAGCATTTTTTAAATAAGGAAGGAGAAAGGAAGGAGGTATAATGCGGTTTCATATTGTTTATAATATTATTTTTAAAGCAAGAAATGAAACAATTAAGTTCCTGCAAATCATTTCTTTTTTATCATGCTTTGTGTATATAAATCTCACACTAGCATAGTTTTAACTGCCACATTTTTTATCGCTATGATTTGCTGAGAAGTGTGAACAGTATTAACCATTCCCCTTTCTTGTTTAAAACCTTTACTATCAGTGCCTTCCCTGGTCCCCAATCTTGCATATCTGCAGAAATCCCTCCTTTACTCTTATCCAAAACCCATCCCCTACCCCTTTCATCCTATCTTGGTGTCTCCCTCACCTACCAGCAAGTACAAGGGCTATCTATAGCTGGTGTTTGTGATCACTCACAGCACATAATGAGTAATCAATAAATGTCCGCTAAAGGTTTCCTTCTCTATTACTATGACCCCTCTGCATTTGTAAGTGTCTTGAGGGCAGGGACTACACTTGTTTTATTTCCTACTAGAGAGTCCTGGTTTAGCACTGTAGGATAAGCACTGGACCACAAGATTGGTTTGAACTGCAAGGTTGGAGGTTCAAGCTCACCAGCCGCTCCTAGGAAACCCTATGCAGGGTCACTATGGGTTGAAAGCACTTAACAACAAAGAGTGCAATAAATATTTATTGAGTTCATAAATAAATGGGCACAGTGTGAAATATGTTTTCTTACCCACTGTAGTCTCCAGTTAAAAATTCTGAAATCGCAGCAGGAAGCTCAGTTTTAATAATTAGAAGATAAGATGACATAGCTGCAAAAAGAAAAAAAAAAAAAAAAGAGTCCGATAAGAGCTCTCTATTTTCCCGTGTGAAGAATCATCCATCCAGGAACACAGACGCCCATTAGGGCTAGAAAATGAACTCATAGTTGGTAGAGAAGAATAGTTGGTAAGTTCCTTAACAGTTTTGTTTACATTGCATGTCCAAAGCAAATTATTTAGGAAAGAGAAAGGGTCTTGATTTTTAAGGCATTTATAACTGAAATTTGAAATCACAAAAACTCTCTTAAGCCATCATCTAAGGCACTAGAGGTTAGTTTCACAACCACTGGCAGAGAAGTTTGAAAAGCATAGCTAGTAAGTTTGATGATTTGTTCTTTCTTACTAGAGACAGATCTCTCTAGAAGTCTTGCTCTCTCCTGTTTCCTTTTTCTTCTTCTCTTTGCTACCCTCACACATTATGATTTCTACTGTAAGCCAAAAACAGACTCTATTAATAAGTTACATTTAAAATTATTCTCTAAAAGGGGTTTGAGATGATTCAGTTAGCGAAACCACTAAGCATATTAAAGAGTTAAAACTGCCAGCTTTTATTTCATTTTACTAACAGGTCCATCTGTATTAAGCAATCAGACTCTGAATCTTCATCATTTCCCATATTGTACAGACAAGATGCAAGTAACAACTAGTTTTTTATAGCATTTTAATAATTCTATTTCTGATGTAGCTATGAAAAAATAACTTGTATAAACATTCAGTCTTATAGTAGGATATGGTTTAATATGATTACAGAACACAGAGCCCATTTATATGTAAATACTTGACTTTAAGCTTAAATGTGTAAGCATATAAAAACTCAGATGATTTGGAGTCAGAAATTCAGTTTAACAAGTAAGAATTCCCCTCCCCACTCCCCCCCCCCCATATTACATGTGGAAATAGAAAACCAAATGTGGAAATGTGCATGAAGAATAAGCAGTATTTGCTGTGTGTACATTAAATTTATTACTTATTTATATTTCAGGAAACATTATACTTTCTCCTTGGACCTATAAAATAAAGGACACAAAAGAATGCCAAATCTGAATGGCAAAAATTTGGGTAAAAGTTGATTAAAAGCCTCAAATAGTTTCAGAAGAAGACGATGTATCTCTCAGCCAACATATATGAAAACAGTCAAACTCATCCATGATTATTATGGCGCTGCTGTGGGTATTAACACTGGTGGGAAAAGGCCACTCACCACACCCCTTACCTAACCCGCCCTTTAGGAAAAGTTAAAGCTCATACAAAAGACAAATGAGTCACAGGTTTACGGATTTTAGGCAGTCAGTTAAACATTTCTAAAATTTGAATTGTTTTAAGATAACTCAATTTTATGTATTTAAAAACATAACTTCAAAAATAGCAAACCGACATCTTATTTTGTGATTTTATTTCAAAAAAGTTTTAAAAGTATTGGTAATACAAATAATATCATAAAGTATACACTGAAATAATCCTAGGAATCAAGGGGAAGGATTATGGTTGAGATGTAAATTTGTATGAAGATAAACCATATTCCGCTATAAACACATACTCAATTTTCTTAGTAAAAATAACACGTACCTTGGAGTCCTAGTATGGTGCTTATAAGATAAGCACTGGACTGCAAGGTCAAATGAATCACAAGGTCAGCGGTTCAAACTCACCAGCCGCTCCTCGGAAACCCTACACAGGGTCGCTATGAGTCAAAACGGACCCAAGGGCACTTAACAACAACAACAACAACAACAACATGGCAAAGTAAAGAGTCCCGGTGTCGCACTGCAGAATAAGCACCAGACTGCTAACCACAAGGTCAGCATTCAGATCCACCAGAGACAGGGTCACTATGAGTTGGAACCTACTCAACAGCACACAACAATAACAACAACAACACAGCAAGTAAAGTGTTGTTGTTGTTACAGTGCCATCGAGTCGGCTCAGGCCCATAGCGACCCTGTATAGGGTTTCCAAGGTGGTGAGCTTGAACCACCAACCTTGTAGTTCAAATGCCTTTGCAGTCTGGGGCATTAACCCACAGCACCACAGTAAAACACTTAAACAGATACCACTTCTCTATAAAAGTACGTCTATATTACATAACACATATATAAAATAAGTACATATTTTCAGTTTATGACAATATTATCTCTTCCTCCTCGGTAAAAGTGCAGCTATTAACTAAAACCCCTTGAGACATTTCTATAAACTCTCTTTCTTTCTAGTTATGGGCATTGTAATTGATTACATATGAAAAGGTGCTCTCTAATGTTCATATTCTCATAAGGAAAAATGGTATCGACTAGCCCAGAACAGAAGGAATGTTTAGTTTAATCTCCTCCACTCTGAAATTTGAAGTCTTTGTTTATAACACTTTCTCTAGTTCAAAGAATTATACACATATGGTGTGATGATGAGAATCATGAATTGAATTTTCTGAAATTGGCCTAGAGCTACTTAAATATATCTTGCTAGGGAAAACAAAAAGGAAACACAGACTAAAGTACCTTGAAACAAGGAATGCAGACTTCCTACACAATGAAATTTATTATCTGCCCATCAGTCTTTCTTGCTTGGATTAATCCAACACCACATGCATTTCTAAAGTTTCAGACATTTATCTCTTTCAGTAATTTTCTATTATTTCTTTTGGACCTTTAGTTGTAAAAAGCTTCAATGAATATGAGATCATATTTCTTTCTAATATACAATCTGTCATTCTTCCCAGAATTTCTATTAGCCCCCGGCTAATCATTTGATCACTTCATCCTCTGTTGTAGCCTTAACTCTTTAGTTTTCAAGTGAGAGTCCTATTTCACTAGATTCCAATCTGTAGAATCATGTATACTACAAGAAATATGCACTCACCAAACATATGTTTCTTTCTTTTAAAACAAAAACAAAACCTCAGCATACAAGATACAAAAGTAATACAGCATGCAAAATGTTGCTTCCTTCTTAGAGAATGCTAGTTTGTGTTTTAAGAGTTACAAAAACAAAGCTTATTTGAAGGGGATAAAAAAACCAAACATATAAAACAGGTAAAGCGAAGAAAAGAATCTACTCAATCCACTGTCTAAATTAGTTTTCTTAACCATAAGTGAACTTTTGTACAAAGACTGCTGCCTTGGCATGTTATAGAAACAGTAAAGAAATAAAAACAAGACCATCTAATACACATCATTAGGAAACATCTTTTAACTAGGTTCACATAAAGAGAAAAATCAGCTTAATAAAATAAACTGGAAAAGTTTTAAAGATATCAACAGGTAAGTTCATAATGGCATTGTTTTTAACCAAAATGTTCACTAGCCCAAATAGCTACCTACATTCCCATTGTCTCATGTCTTCTATTAATGGCATAAGGAAGTGTTTAAACACTAATTTTAGAGACAGGTCATAAGTAAGAATTTGTAAATGATTTTTGCTGACATTGAAACATAGCATAGCCTCCTAATACAAGACACGCCGTGTTGTACTCTACACTAATTGCTGTAACAGGATCATCTGTAAGAGCCATGGTTATAGTTACGTGGTTCTGGCTTCAACATCAGCAAAGCCAATCTTAGTGCTAGAAGACGTACCTTGATGACAGGTACTCAACCATTACAAATCATTTTGTTTCACCACATTATCTAAATAGATACTCTTTTTCTCCTTCATTTTAAACAGAACTAGTAGAACTGCTCTGGGAAGGAAATAAAAAATCTGTCAATTTAATCAAAACACAAAAAAAATGGAAAGTATTCTTTTAAGAACCATATGGAGAAACAACTGCCATAGAAGAAATGACTAAACTAGGGTAAAATCTGATGAATAGCGAGCAGTAAGGCATTTATATTGGTTGTTCCTAATCAACAAGAGATGTTGGGAAGAGATGTTAAAAACAGAGAAAGGGATATCAGGCTCTGCGGCGCAGGACCATAAAGAGCTTTGGTTTGGGGATGCTTACTCTATGCCTGGCAGTATTCGAAGTCATTTACAAGTATTTCCTGACTTAATGTCTACCACAAACATGGCAGTAATTATTAGTGCTTATTTTAGAGATGAAGAAAAGGAAGAAGAAAGAGGTAGCTTGCCCAGGACTACACAGCTAGTAGTGGTGGGAATAACCAGGCTGGCTCGGGACACTTGGACCATTAGCTATTATGTTATGGGAAAATACGGGAGCCAAGTGTAATCAACCAAGAGAAAGAATAGTATGAAAAGTCAATCCAAAGGACCACTCCCAGGATATTAGTGCATATTCTTTTTTCATCAGCCTTTTAATAACAAACTGCTTCTGAATGCTGAGTTTAACCATTGGGTTACAAGAGCACAAAGAATTACAGAATGGTTGTCTGAGCATTTAAAACGACTAATAATTTTCATTTCACACTGAGATGTATTTGTACTTGTATTTCATTTGTTTTATAGCAGGTTTGGTGAGAGCGACTAGTCCACGATTCCTCAGAGGAGCTGAGGATTTCCACCATACAAGAGCACCACATGTATACCTACTGCTATGATTCCACTGGTGTGGCGCTGTGAGTTAATGGGCTGAACTGCAAGGTTGGCAGTTCTAACTCACCAGCCGCTCCTCAGACATCCTATACGTGGCCGCTATGGGTCAGAACCAACTCGATGGGACTTAACAACAATGATTCCACTTCTTCTACAACTATAACTGTAATTTTGAATAGAGAGTTTCCTATTTGTATATTCTGAGGAATTAACACTAGGCTGAAATCTAAAAAATATAAAACAAAAACCAAGCTCTCTTCCCATACACCATGGGAACTATTTTTTCCCTCCAGCACTCATAAAATGCTTTCCAATTTGTCATTACATGAGCATACAACCTTCACTTTAAAAATGCAAATACTTCATTAGGAATTGGGCCTAAATAAATAAGTTCACAAAGAAAATTATGCTTTTTGTTAAACACTTAAAATTCATGTGTAAAGATAGGATTACATAGCTATTTCAAAAACAGAATTAGGTTTTCAGTACTTAGAGGAGGTTCAGCA